TAAGGGCATGTACCTCAGTTGCAGTTTGTCCCCGGCCCTGGTTGGTTGTGCGGGTGGCAGCCACTCAATGTGTTCCTTTCACATTGATGTTTCTCTCTCTCTCTCTCTCTTCCTCCCACTCTATCTGAACAAAAAATGGAAAAAATGTCCTCAGGTGAGGATTAAAAAAATAAAATAAAAAAAAAAATAAAAATAAAGTGGCCCTGGCCGGTTTGGCTCAGCGGTTAGAGCGTCCGCCTGCGGTCCGGAGAGACCCGGGTTCGGTTCCCGCTAAGGGCATGTACCTCGGTTGCAGTTTGTCCCCGGCCCTGGTTGGTCGTGCGGGTGGCAGCCACTCGATGTGTCCCTTTCACATCGATGTTTCCCTCTCTCTCTCTTCCTCTCTCCCCCTCCCACTCTGTCTGTACAAAAAATGGAAGGATGTCCTCGGATGAGGATAAAAAAAAAAAATTAAAAAAAAAAAAATAAATAAAGTGATATCAGTAATTCTGGACACAAATCCAAGAAAATCAAACACCCAGATGGAACCTGGCACTGCTGTTATGACTCAGTGGTATCAGTCTCTATATAATACTGGATTTCCCCTATTATTTAAAATAAAATCCTCCTTTTTCACTTCCCTTATTGAAAGTTTTGATAAACTCTTTCCTCTGGCGTTTTCATGACTTCTAGGCAGTTGTTCGGTGGTACACGGGGGTCACACAGGGAGCTGTGTGAATGCAGAGGGGCACACACTCAGCCGTGAGGAAACAAGGCCTTCGGAGTGACGGCTAAGCTCTGGTCCCGAGGATGAGGGAATTTCTGAGAGCTGGGGTGGGGGTGGAGCAGAATATCCAGGTGGCACCAACAGCCCCGGCAAAGGTTCAGGGGTGAGAGAAAGCAGGGAGAACATTCCAGAAGCTGAAAAGAGGGTTGCAAGCTCATGTGAGTGTAGGCCAGCTGGACGGGGGAGCACAGCCCATGCAGAAGCGGAGTAAGGAGGGGGGATGCTGGCGAATTGGAGGTGCCTTGTCTGAGCTGCTTCACAGATGAGAAAGCCAAGGTGGCAGCAGTTGAGGAACTTGCCCAAGTACACCCACAGAGTAAGCGGCACCAGGCTGGGCATGGCGGGGTGGGGGAGCCTGAAGAGAGGTGAAGGCAGGGCAGTGTGGACTGGGCAGGGCTGGCTCCGAGACCCCGCCTTCCTCTCCCCCAGCCGAGCAGCTCACTGTGGTGGGGAAGATCTCCTTTAACCCCAAGGATGTGCTGGGCCGCGGGGCAGGCGGGACTTTCGTTTTCCGGTGAGTGGCAGCCAGGAGCCAGGTGGAGACGTGGCTGTCACAGCTCTTTCAGCCAGTCCCTTGGGGGAATCCCTGAGGTGGGTGCAGGCTGGCGCCTCCCTCACCAGTCCTAACTTTTCCCTTTATCTGCCCTCTCTGAACCTCCATTCCCCACCTACCAGGGGACAGTTTGAGGGGCGGGCAGTGGCTGTCAAGCGGCTCCTTCGTGAATGCTTTGACCTGGTCCAGCGGGAAGTCCAGCTGCTGCAAGAGTCAGACAGGCACCCCAATGTGCTCCGCTACTTCTGTACAGAGCGGGGGCCCCAGTTCTACTACATCGCCCTGGAGCTCTGCCCTGCGTCCTTGCAGGAGGTGAGGCTGGAGTGGAGGGAGGTGCAGGCGAGGGTCTGAAGGTCCCGGGCTACAGAGCGACTTTGCCCCTCACTGCTCCGCAGTACGTGGAAAACCCAGAGCTGGACCGCCGGGGCCTGGAGCCTGACACCGCGCTGCGGCACCTCCTGTCTGGCCTGGCCCACCTGCATTCTTTACACATAGGTACCCACCCGCCTCTCCTCCCCTCGCCCACCCCGCCTTCCCTTCCCGGCCTGCGCTCAGCTGCCTCCTGCTCTCACAGTGCACCGGGACCTGAAGCCAGCCAACGTGCTCATCACGGGGCCCGACAGCCAGGGCCGCAGCAGGGTGGTCCTCTCCGACTTCGGCCTTTGCAAAAAGCTGACAGCCGGCCGCTGTAGCTTCAGTCTGCGCTCAGGTGTCCCTGGCACAGAGGGCTGGATGGCACCCGAGCTCCTACAGCTCCCGCCCCCAGACAGCCCTGTGAGTCCTCCCATCACCCTGGCCCAGTGCCTCTCCCGCACAGGCTCCACCTGATCACCACCGCGTGAGCCTGAACCTGCTCCCTCTGTGCAGTGGGACAATTCATCTTTTCTTGCCTAGAGCAGTGGCTTGCAGCCAGGGTCTATTTCACCGCCCAGGGGCACTGGGTAATGTCTAGGGATAGTCTAGATAGCCACGCGTGGTGGGTGGGGGATTGTGACTGGCATCTGGTGGGTAGAAACCAAGGATACTGCTAAACATCCTGTGGCCACCCCCATAACAAAAAATTATCAGGCCCAAAGTGTCAATCGTGCCGAGGTTAAGAAACCCTGAGCTAAAATGGTTTTTCACTCTTCAGTGTGCTGCAGAATCACTTGGGAACTTTAAAAAGTCAGGTGCCCAGCCCTGGCCGGTTTGGCTCAGCGGTTAGAGCGTCGGCCTGCGGTCCAGAGACCAGGGTTCGGTTCCCGCTAAGGGCACGCACCTCGGTTGCAGTTTGTCCCCGGCCCTGGTTGGGTTGAGTGGGAGGCAGCCACTCGATGTGTCCCTTTCACATCGAGGCTTCTCTCTCTCTTCCTCTCTCCCCCTCCCTCCCATTCTCTCTGAACAAAAAATGGAAAAATGTCCTCGGGTGAGGATTAAAAAAAAAAAAAAACCCAGGTGCCCAGGCCCCACATCTGGTGATCACAACCTGATTAGCTGGTAAGGCCCCAGGGCATTGTCACTTGTGGCCAGGGTAGAGAGCCCCGGAGTCGGAGTCGAGGGCTGGGGAGCATTAGACGAGCTCACATAGTTGAAGCGAGAGCAGTGTCTGGCCAGACACGAGTGTGGGGCCCGGTTTGTACATATTTGAGCCATCAGTCAGTGTGTGTGACAAGCTGGGTAGTCACGGGCACAGATGACAGCAGCACAAAAGGACAATCAGTAGGCACAGTCCAGAGAAAGCGAGAAGTGCAGCCTGCAGGCCCAGGACCAAAGGCACTGTTAGGAGCCTGTACGGGTCCCTTTGTTTATTAATGGCCATAAATATCTGGATTTCTGGATCCGCCTGGGAAATGAAAGCTGTGCTATCCCGAGTGCCCTGGAGGCCACCGCAGGGCTAAGTGCCAGCGGCTGCCTGTGGACAGGGGCCTTGCCAGATCCGAGACCGCCCGCCCTCGTTGCCGCATGGCTGCTAGATCTGGAGGAATGGTGCTTGGAAACCCGAACTAGAAGCTCACTAGGGGCGAAAGTTTGGGATGCAAACCATGGGCCCCTTTCAATGAGGGAGGGATCTAGGCTAAGGAGAGCCTCTCAGGAAGCACCCCCAAGTTCTACTCCGAACCAAACTGCCTGGAGAAGTCAGCCGGGCAGACTTCCTCGGAGCGGAGACTCCCTCTCACTCCTCTCTGCCCAGACCAGCGCAGTGGACATCTTCTCCGCGGGCTGCGTGTTCTACTACGTGCTTTCCAGCGGCAGCCACCCCTTTGGAGAGAGTCTCTACCGCCAGGCCAACATCCTTGCAGGGACCCCCTGTCTGGCTCACCTGGAGGAAGAGGCCCATGGTGAGAGGGTCCCAGCCCAGCGAAGAAGGGAGGAAGTGGGGCATGAGGCCGGGCGCCTGAAGCCTCCTCTTTCCCCTGCAGACAAGGTGGTGGCCCGGAGCCTGGTGGAGGCCATGCTGAGCCCGCAGCCGCAGGCGCGCCCCCCAGCTCACCAGGCGCTGGCCCACCCCTTCTTCTGGAGCAGAGCCAAGCAACTCCAGTTCTTCCAGGTCAGGGGAAATCTTGGGAATGGGCTCAGAAAGTCCCAAGTATGGACCCTGAGCAACAAGAAAGCGCAAGCCAGGGCGGCTGAGAGAGCAGGGACTTGTCTGCCTGCTGTCTAGCAGCCCAGCTCCTTATCGAAACCACAACGGAGCATAGCCCCCAACTCTGCCGTCTTGGCGCTCGTCCACGCACTACCCCTCCCTGTCCCAGCTGCCCGTGAGTGCCCGCCCTTTCGGCCCCGGCTGCCACTCATGCTGCACCTGTGCCGACAGCCATTCCCATGTGGCCGTGAGCTAGGCACTCGACCTCTGAGGCCATTGGCTCCTCTGTAAAACGGAGGACAACAGCACCTGCCTTGTGGGGGGCAGGCCTGCTGGGTAACCGGAGGGCAGGCTCCTGGGCTCGTGGTCGCTGAGACCGGTCCCGGGCTCAGGAGCTCTATGGGGTCCTAGGACGTCAGTGACTGGCTGGAGAAAGAGTCCGAGCAGGGGCCCCTGGTGACGGCCCTGGAGGCAGGAGGCTCCGCTGTGGTCCGGGACAACTGGCACAAGCATATCTCGGTGCCACTGCAGACAGGTAGAGGCCAGATGCCAGGGTGGGGAGAGGCCCAGGGAGCCCAGTGGGGACAGCCTGGCCAGCGATGCCCTGCCCACAGAGCTGAGGAGGTTCCGGTCGTATAAGGGGACGTCAGTGCGAGACCTGCTCCGCGCCCTGAGGAACAAGGTGCGTTCTGGGGCTCAGGGGGTCTGGCTCTTGGAAAGGCTTGGTCTCCGCTGAGCCAGGGCCCTGCTCTAACCCTGCAGAAGCACCACTACAGGGAACTCCCAGGTGAGGTCCAGCAGGCGCTAGGCCGCGTCCCCGACAGCTTTGTCCAGTACTTCACGGACCGCTTCCCACGGCTGCTCCTGCACACGCACCACGCCATGAGGAGCTGCGCCTCCGAAAGCCTCTTTCTGCCCTACTATCCAGCGGCCTCAGGGCCCAGGGAGCCACGCTCAGGAGCTGCTGGGAGCTGAGGAGCCAGGCTGGGCACTGAGGCTGGCCTCGCCTTGAAGATACCTCAGAGGCTGGGCAGCCTGAGGCCAGACCTGGAGCACAGGTGTGCCGCGAGCCAAGTGCATGCCATTCTCGGAATACAGGAGGAAAAGGAGATTCTCACGTATTTAATGTATATAAAGACAGGGGAAGGACAGTCCTGAACCCAACAGCAATATTCTATACATATGGTGGGGTTGGGAGGGAAGGGAAGGGGCCACAGACCCCACACCCGAAGTGTACAAAAATAACTTACACAGCAGCCCCCTGCAAAGAGCAGCCCGTGAGAGCGGACCGGAACGCGCCTCGGTGCGGGGGAGGGCGCACCAGTTCCGGGGGCAGGCCTACGAGGAGGCCTTGTGGCGGTTGGTGGCCGAGTGCGAGCTCAGCAGCTTGTCCACCATGGTGCGGGCGTACCGCAGCCGGCTGGCCAGCTCCTTGGAGCAGCCGTACTCCTCCAGGAGGCTCAGGCGGTACGTGCGGAAGTCCCGCTTCTCGTTGATGTAAGTCACGGCAGCCATCAGCGGGCACAGGATGAGCTTGGTGTGGTCCTACGAGGAAAGGAGGAGGGAAGAGGACGGACAGACAGGATCAGTGGACTGAAGGTCTAGGTGCTAGTGCATGTGGGGGAGCAGAAGGGAGACAGCCCGGCTGGTTGGGGGGCCTGACCCCACTCCCTCCCTACTGCCAAGGACAGGCCAGACGCTCCCCCTCCGCAGCCTGGCTCACCTGGAAGAAGTTGATCTGCACACAGCCATTACTGAGGTGCAGGATGATGGCACTGCGGGTGCGGAACCAGGTACGCAGGTAGGGCAGCCGGGCCAGCTCATCACCTTCCCGTGGCGTGATATTGGCCCCTGCCTTCAGCAAGTGTTCGCTCATGTAGTTTCGGAAATACTTAAGGAGGGTGACCTAGTTGGAAAGTCAGGGAGTCCAGTCAGGGCGCAGCCCGGGCACAGCACTCCCTCCCAGCGGCACCGGGCCACACGGCCAGCCAGCACGCACCTTCTTTGTCAAGGAGCTGGGGTGGGAGTTCACGGTGAGGTAGGACTCGGTGCCGTCACGCTCTATGTACTGCAGGCTGTCACCGTCGTTGTAGAGGATGAGGCGTGTCCAGTCATTGAAGAGCACCCCCACGCTGTTGTCACACAGTTGATATCCTAGTGGTAGTGGGGCAAGACCTCAGAAAGGGGAGCAGGGAGCAGGGGGACATTGGGGGCTGGCACTGGGAGGTCTGGGATGGGAGAGCTGACAGAGGACCTGGCAGCCAGAAAAGGCAAGAGCCTGTAACAAGGCAAAGGGTCACAAGGTCATACCGGGGCCACCTACCCACTCTGGGAGAAACCTACCAAGGCCGTACTTGTCCGAATAGTCCACCCACTTGCTGACCCAGAAGATAGGGATGCAGGCGGGATCCTCAGCCTCCTCTGGGATGGAAACAGACAGACGATCGGTCAGAACCAGCCTCTTCCCCTCAGGTAGCCCACACTGGGGACGCTTAATGGGTACCCCATCTGGGCTCAGTCAAGAGGCCTGGGGCCCCAAAGAGCAAAGCAAGGCCTCTGCTGCCAAAAAGTTCAGACAGGACAGACATGTAAGCAGAACGTCACGGTGCGGAGCACCAAGCTCCCCTCATCCAGTCAACTGACCGTTTGACCACAGGCCTACGTGGGGGCACAGTGAGCAGGGACAGACCCAGCCTTCGCGGACTTGCGTTCTAGTCGCAAGGACAGACACCAGTCAAACTATTTAAGCTCTTCCATCCTGGAGAGTCAGTGGCTGACGTTATCTAGCGTTCCAGTTTTAAGTGATTAAAATGTTGTGAGAAGAGAGACAATTCCAAATACATCAAATGTTATGCACAGTGACAGCAATAACACCTTCTTTTTTAAATACAGAAAACCAATATGGAGACTTAAGAACAGGTCAGGTAAGGGGGTGGCAAGTGCTAGGAGCTGGGCCGGGGAAGGCACGTGAAAGGGGACACCAGAGCCGACACTGGAAAACTGAGTGTGTGAGCCACGCAGGTATCTGCAGGAAGACTGTTCCAGAAGGGACAGTGTGAGCAAAGCCCCGAGGCTGGAGCACGACCGGCTGTTATTTCAACCGTCTTAAAGGCTAACCAGGAACTCACTGACAGAACAGTGTGTGGACAGGTGCCAAGGCAGCAGTGAGGTGCTGGAAGATGGGCATTTGTGCAGACAGAACACCTGAGGCAGAAAAAGGAAGGGGCCAGATCATGGAGGGTCTTGGACATCAGGCTAACTCACTGGGAATTTAATCTCCAGGAAACGGGGGAACTAAACACATTATGGAACAGGGGCCTGGACAAGGTAACACACTTCTCTGCCTTCTCAAGATGCCTCAAGCAACCCCCACTGCCCCCACCACTGCAGCGCCCACCTTGCCGCACCAGCCCCCGCTCCGAGGGCTTGGAGGCATTGACGCTGTGCAGCTGCTGCAGCATGTCACCAAGGTGGTAGTCAACAGCCTCACCGGTCTCCCGGACTGCTGCCTCCTCTTTTTCTTGGAGCCGTTCAGGCATGGGGTTCTCTGTACCTAGGACAAGATGAGATAGGGTCACTGGCTGGGCACAAAAGCAGCAGGTTTGGAGGAGTGTGGGACCCCCTGCCACAGCTGGTACTCTCCCCACTGAAAATCTCTCTTAGCTGCTACTGCTTTGGGTAAACTGAGTCAGTGCCAGGCTAAGAGAGCTCACACTCCAACAACAGGCACATGGTACTCACTGGCACCCCCAGCACCAGGCCACGCCCTTCAGGAAGGCTCACAGCCACACACAGAGTCGGACACTCAGAATTAAAAGCAACTTCAGTATCCAGGAAAATGGGAGGGTTCAGTACATCGCAGACCAGCAGGATGAACTAAGCAGCCATTTAATGAAAACATAAGATATTTCCCAACCTAAAGTTTGCTTTACATACTTATATATGATCAATAGCCCGAAAGATCTACACTGAAACTTTAACATTGGTTATATCCAAGTGTAGAAGCATGATTTTGTCTTATGCTCATCTGTCCAATTCTTTCCCCACCAATATGTGCTCATTCTCCTTGTGGAATATGAAATTCTTCTTTACAATACTTACAGATCAGAGTTTTCAGTTAAAAAAAAACTATGCTGCGATAAAGATTAAAGTATGAAATAATATTAAAACTCTAGCCAAAAAAGAGAGGAAAATGTGGACTAAATAAAAATAAATATAGGCAAACATTACTATTGAAAATGGATGATGAATGCATGGGGGTTCATCATACATTTCTCTCTACTTTTGGGTAAGTTTGAAAATTTCCAGTATAAGAAGTTTTTAAAATATGTTTCATGACCAAAAATTAAAGCCAAAAGAAGAAGAAAAAAAGCCATCCTTAAAATAACACTAAGACATGATAGCCCGAAGAAAGCCTAGCATGCGTGCAGACTGACGCCATGAAGTGAACCGTACACGGGACGAGCACCAGCTCCTCCTCTCAGAAGAGGCCCGAAGGACAGATGTGGGAGGAGCCGGAGGGAGAAGCATCACGGTCAGAACACCATGGTAACAACTGCCAAAGGCAAGATCCACATGAGTGCTAGCACCAGTGGGCGGAAATCTGAGGAGAAACAGGACAGTCTCAAAACCTCTCCCAGCAAGACGCGTTTTAATTACAAAGGGAAAAATAATCGCGACGCTGCAGAGGAGAAGCCCATCAGACACCACCGTGACCAAGTAATCAAGACTGACATCACTAATAAAAGGAATGTCAAAAATTAACAGCAAAAGAAAATTAAGTAATCCTTAAAATAACAGTATTGGATTATAATGAAAACAAATGCACTTATATATCAAATTGGTATATATTAAGTTGATGCTATATCCACACAGTGCAAAAGTATTTCAAGTGACTTTTTTTACACTGTATTATTTTAAGTGAAATATATTTCAAGGACAAATAGAACTGCAAGAAAATAAAACAGCATTTAATAAAAGGAACTAGTTTGCCCAGCCAGTGTGGCTCAGTGGATTGAGCATGTCTCAGGGACTGAGAGGTCCTGGGTCCATTCCCAGTCAGGACACATGCCAGGTTGCGGGCTTAATCCCCAGTAGGGGGCGTGCAGGAGGCAGCCAATCGATGTTTCTTTCTATCTCTTCCTTCCTCTCTCTCTAAAAAATCAATAAAAACATATTTTAAAAAAATTTTTTTGAAAGGAACTAATTTGCCCTGACCAGTTTGGCTGAGCGGTTAGCGAGTCGGTCTGCAGACTGAATGAAGAGTCATGGCTTCGACTGCCAGTCAGGAGCACATACCTGAGTTGCAGGTTCGATCCCCAGCCGTGGTCGGGGTTGTTCAGGAGGCAATTAATCAATATGTCTCTCTCACATCGATGTCTCTCTCTGCCCACCCCCTCCCACTCTATCTGAAAAAAATAACCAATGGAAAAATATCCTCAGGTGAGGATTTAAAGTAATTTTTTAAATAAAAATAGTTTATATATTAAAAAATATATGTACATATATTAATGTCGGGAAATAAGATTTTCGGTTTAAGAGAAAAGAAATACAAACATAAAATCAAAGAAGTAAAAATCGTACAACACTGTATGTGAATCACTTATAAATTACCAAAAGAAAAGCAGTAACTTCACAGTAGAGACAAAGATTGCTCTAAAACAGTGGTTTTCAACCTTCCTAATGCCGCGACCCTTTAATACAATTCCTCATGTTGTGGTGACTCCCAACCATAAAATAGTTTTCGTTGCTACTTCATAACTGTAATTTTGCTGGTTAAGAATCGCATCGGAAATATGTGTTTTCTGATGGTCTTAGGCGACCTCTGTGAAAGGGTCGTGACCCACAGGTTGAGAACCGCTGCTCTAAAAGACTGTATCAACATTAAATTTCCTGAACTTGATAACTGCCATGTGCTGTGGTTTTGTACCAGAATCTTTGTTTGGGGAAACATACACTGAAGTATTAAGGTGTAAAGGACAGGATATATACAACTTACAAGTAGTTCAGAAGAAAGAGAGGGAGGGACAGAACTGATGAAGCAAATGTGAAAAAAAATGTGAACTGTGGACCTGGGTAAAGTGGATATAGGGGCTTTTGTCTATTCTTATACCTTTTCCTATGTTTGAAATATAACAAGTTAAATAAAATGCTGAAAAAATGTGAATGGAAGTCTCACCATAAACTCAAGCTGCCACCCCACCCCCTGCCCAAATTATGTATTTCCTAATTCTGTCCCTAAAGAGACCTAGAAGCAGTATTAACCTAAGCAGTGGCATGTGGTTTTATAAGGTACCCATCCTTCTAGAGAGAGACACCCTGCAGTTTGTGGGGTAAAATGGTAAGGTGTCTGTGCCCAACTTGGAAAACTTCGAAGGAACTAGAGGGAGATGAAGCACGTGCGACAAAGCCGTGGCGGCCAGAGCCTGGCGGGCGCAAGGAGCCCGCTGCCCTCAGTTCTCTGTGGATATCTGAACACTTTCTTATTTTTCTCAATGAACCACAAAAGAGTGATGTTTAGAACTTTTCAAATAAGAATTTTTCAGGTGGTGTTCAGTCCTCTTTCTGGGCCTGCTAGGTGTGACTCAGCCGTGTGAGGTCGTCCTTCCTGACAGGGCTGAGGGGAAGACAGGGCCATGGGCTCAGGGCCTGGGCCCTTCCACTGCACCCCCGAGCCCTGGGCCATCTACACACATCTGAAGCCTGGGTCTTTGTGGGGGTCTGTTGTCTACCCAGACTTTGACTTACCTTTGTTGAGGACTGAGAGAGGCTTCCGGTTGCTGGAGTCCAGGCTGCTGGGAGCAATGGAAAACCTGGGAGGGATGGTGAGGCAGGTGATGGGCAGGCGGGCGGGGATGTAGCCAGAGGTAAAAAACTCATCGTGGAGCAGCTCGTGGATGGTGGGGCGGGCAGTGGGGTCAGGCTGAAGCATCTTCTGGATGAGGGAGGCAGCCACCGGGTTGATGTGCTGGAGCAGAGGACAGCCGTAAGCGGGCATGCCGGGGCCCACATGCCACCCCCGCACAGGAGCTGCAGGCCCCTCCCACACAGCACCCCACCCCCGTACCAAACAGGCCACAGTCAAGGCCAAGCACCCCACTAACAGCTTTGCAGAGTTGACAAGTGTCAGACTAAGTTGTAAGAATGGTTATTTCTCCTTCCTCTTAAAATTCAGATTGATTTGAGGCTGCAGTGTCCCCGAGTTTGCACTCGCGTAGCTCAAGCTGCTCACCCCTAGGGTAGACCTTGAGAGCACTGGCTTTGGGTCAGAGAGACCTGGCTGAAGCCCCAGTTCTGCCCTTTACACCAGCTGTGACAATTGTCTTCACCTATAAAATGGGGACACAGCACCAAGCCAGGAGCTGTGGTAAGAAGGCTCCCTAGGATATAACCTCGCACGTGTCACACGCGTATGTCACAGCCTGGCATGAGCTCCACACTCACCGTGTGCCAGGAAACTCTCCTAGCACACCCTACATGTTCACGCATTTAACCCTCACAACAACATCTAAGGGGTGGAGATCTGTTATCACCCCTCTTACAAATGAGGAAACTGAGGCACAGAGAGGTTAAGTGCCTAAGAATACACACCTAATGAGTGGTAGAGCCAGCACCCACACGGACTGTCTAGCTGGCTCAAGGACCCACACTCCGAACACTCCATGCTGTGTCCATCCAACAGATAACTGACCCTTTAGGACTGTCTGTCCTTAGGGGCACAGGGCTCCTGGCTGCACACAAGGCAAGAACACCAAACAGGGAAGCGGCCATGTGCCAGGTGGCTGTGATGATGCACACACTTTGAACTCAGTGACCCACGACTGAGCAGCCCGCGTGCAGGGCACTGTGCGAGGTGCTGCAGAGGCAGCGGCTCCATTCCACAGACGGGGACCCCACTTCAGAAGACCCAGGCCATTTGCCCACCTGTATCAAGACAGTCCGTCCACCGCCAAAGCTTAAGCAGCACTTGTCCTTCTGCTCCCTACCCCCTTCCCATATTTTCATTGTTTTGCTTTTTACGCATTTTTTGTGTTACCTACCCAACCTATGAAATCTACAAACTCTCTGCATGGAAAAAATACTTGTGAGTATTTATGTCCAGTCCCGTATGCAGTTTCAGACTCGGACCCTCTAAGGCCCTGAGGCTACCCAGGTGTGGGATTGACCTATCTCTGTGTCCCCAGGTTCTAGCTGGGCTCAGTAAATAGCTTTGGGGGTGAGAGGGGAAGAAAATATAATACATTTAAACTTCGAGAGTTTTTAGTTACCTTGGGAATACTGTACTCATTCTTCTTGATCCGGAGGTAGGTCTCTTTTAAGCAAGATGTCTCAAAAGGTGGTTTGCCCACTAACAAGGTGTACCTGTAGGCACAAGGTGGGATTTAGCTCAAGGCTCTCGGCCAAAATGTAGATGCGGGAGGAATCATCTCAGGGCCAGAACAAAGGCCAGGCACCCTCTAGGCACTCTGTCCCTGAGCAGCCCAATGAGCAGCCCCAGGAACCAGGACACGAGCAGAGAAAGCCCTTACTAGATAATAGGTGATGAGACCAGGATTCTCCTAGGTCAGTGATTTTTCACCAAAAGCCTGCAGGGCCCCAGAGGCCCCCAGCTGACAACAGAACAAGTCAAAATGGGAGCTACCCACTCCTGCAGAGGCAGCTCTACATTTCATAGCTCTGTGCTAAAAGCCTGAAGTTCCATCTGGAATAGCTCCACTGAGAAGTACGGAGGCCGCCATTGCCACAGCGCATTCCTAACTCCAGTACTCAGGCCAGCAACGACGGTAACACCTGAAAAGGCCCTCTGCCCACACCCAGCTCTGAGGGCCTTGACTGGACAGACCACAGGGGACCTCCTCCTGCTCTAACTCCCGGCCTAAGTCCTCCCACCCAGTGCTGCCTTCTAGATCAGTGGTTCTGAAACTCGCGCATGAGAATCAGCCAGGGACCTAGTTAAAATCCGGATTCCGATTCATAGCCTACATTTCTAGTAGGTTCCTGGTAATGGTGTTACGGGTCTGTGGACTGAACTGAGTAGCAAGGGGCCCGGGCTGCAGAAATCCTACAGCATACACCAATGACAAGAGGTAGGGAAATTAGTCTTTGATTTGGGGTATTCTGTCCTCTGGAGAAGTCTTTTCATAAGCAAATCAGTGCACAGGTGAGATTGCCAAAAGAGCCCATGCAGGAGGCAGCGCGAGGGACCAGGGGTCTCCCAACTTACATGATGCACCCAATGGACCACACATCCACCTCAAAACTGTGCCCTTTCTTGCTCAGCACCTCAGGAGCTATGTAATTAGGAGTTCCGCACAGGGTCTTCTTCCGTTCCCCATCATATTCGATTTTGGTTGCCAGTCCAAAATCCCCTGGGACAGAGGGAGGAAGGGGAGGTACTCAGATGCTAGTTTCTGTCATCTGTCAATGCAGACTACTGATTTTGTGATTCAGGTATGACCACAAGAACCAGGGTCACCTGACCCCTCAAGCTCTAGTCCTTGTATGCAGCAAGGCCTACCCAGGGTGCTGATTCACAATAGGGGGTATGCAGGAGGCAGCCAATCAATGTCTCGCTCTCCCATAGATGTTTCTTTCTCCCCCTCTCCCCACCTCCCTTCTCTAAAAACCAATTAAATGCCCTGGCTGGTGTGGCTCAGTGGTTGAGCATCGACCCCTGCTCCAAGAGGTTGCCAGTTCCATTCCAGGTCAGGGCAGGTGCCCAGGTTGTGGCCCAATCCCCAGTGGGGGGCATGCAGGAGGTGGCTGATCGATGCTCTCTCTCATCAATGTTTCTAGCTCTCTCTCCCTCTCCCTTCCTTTCTCTCTAAGATCAATAAAGAAACCAAATAAAAATTAATCAAGTTACCATATGGCCCAGCAATCCCTCTTCTGGGTATCGACTCCTCAAATTTGAAAACACTTATTTTTAAAGACACATGTACCCCTATGCTCACTGCAGCATTATTCACAGTAGCCAAGACATGGAAACAACCTAAGTGTCTTTCGATGGATAACTGAATAAAGGTGTGGTATATATATACTCAGTCATAAAAATAGACGAAATACTGCCATTTGCAACAATATGGATGAATCTTGAGTATCATGTTAAGTAAAATAAGTCGAACAGAAAATGACAAGAACCATATTTCACTCATGCGGGATACAAAATAGAAAGCAACAAATGGACAAACAAAAAAAAACTCAAGAGGCACAACAGTATGGTGGTTACCAGGGGGGAAGGGAAACGGGGAGCGGATGAAAAGTAAAGCGGGTCAGTGATGGAAGGAGACCAGACTCTGGGTGGGTACATAATGCACTGTACAAACGACTTACTACAGAACTGTACACTGAAACATACAGGTAGGAATCAACAGCCCAGACTTCCTCCCACCTTCTTCCTTCCCAATCTCCTTCCTATTTCCCCTCTCCCAGTCTCCTCTTTATTCCCACTTCTTTGTTGCATCAGGAACCCCTGCAGGCCCAGCACCTCACCTATTTTCACCTCTAGATCCTCGTTCAGGAAGAGGTTGCCTAGTTTGAGGTCCCGGTGAATGACCTGGTTTTGTTGCAGGTACTGGCAGCCAAGAACCACCTGCCGCAGATAGTAGCGGGCCTCCGGCTCAGTCAGCGCTTTCCTCCGTTTGTGTAGTTCCAGGAGAGACTGGGCAGGGGAAAAGAGGACGGAGGTGGAATGGGGGGGTTGGCACCGAGGTCCAAGGGTGGAGGCAGTATCTTTAGGTAAAGGCAGCCCAGGACCCTCACTCCCCACCCCCACCCCTGACTTTTCTTCTCCAGGACAACTAGGATCTGGGCTCTCCCATAAACGTGGCCACAACCGTTCACAGCAACCCCTTCTCCTATGGCTCCTTCCCATGCCCAGACCTGGATCGCTCCGTCAGCCCCACTCCCCAAGCTCAGAGTCCCCAGTATCCCCCTTCCGGGTCTTTTCGCAGCAGCAGATCCCTTTCCTGAACCGCCAAAGTCCGACTCCAACCACCCTCTCCCTGACCCAGCCCCAGCCCGGAAGCTCCAGGTCCAAGGCCCCTCTTCCCCCGGACTCCACCCTTAGTAACTCCGGAAGCCCTAGCGTCCATTACCAGGGTTCCCTTCCGACGACCCCCCCTCCCCGCCCCAAACCCGGCGTCCAGGAGCCAACTTCCCTAGCAGCAACAGGCCTCGGGCTTCCCTTAACCGGAACCCTCTCCCCCAGCAGCGCCAAGCTCTGCCTGGAGCTCTTCCGCCCCTACCGAGCCCGAGGTTCCCAGCACCTCCTCTCTAGCACCCCTTCTCCAGCAGCTCCAGGGCTGGGCGCCCACACCCCGGCCCCCGGGCAGCTCCGGCCCCCCAACAGCGACACTCACTCTCCGGCGGCAGAGCTCCAACACCACGAACACGAAGTCGTCGTCCTCGAAAAAGCCGTGGAAGCCCACGACATGCTGGTGGGCGAGGCTGCGGTGAATGGATATCTCCATGGCCATCTTGTCCTTCTGGTGCGGCTTGAGCAGCAGCGACTTCGGCACGATCTTGCCCGCGAACACCTCCTTCGTGTCCGTGTCGGAGATCTCGAAGCACTTGGCAAAGCCGCCCTTCCCCAGAAAGCGGCCCCGCAGATAGCGCCGCCGGCTGCGTGGGTCCACCAGGACCTCCGGGATCTCTTTCCCCGGCGGGGCGGCAGCTGGGGCCCCCGAAGCGGCAGCGCGGGGGCCCCCGGCTTTCCCTGGGTTGGCTGGTGCCCGCGCCAGCTTGCCTGCGGTTGGCGCCGCACTCATGCTCCCGGAGTTGCTCGGCGGTCTAGCAGGGTCTGGGAGAAGGTTTGACACCGCTCGGCTCCTCCTCGAATTCAAACGCGGCGCCGGGAACGTTACAAAGGCCTACGCGCCACTGATTGGCCGCGGGGATTTAAAATCCAAACCCGCCCGCCGCGCGGCACTCTGGGTGCGCTCGGCACCGCAGCCGCCTTTTAACCCTACACAGCTGGAGGGGCTTGGGGAGGGGGAGGGGGAGGGCTTGATTAACCGGACTCGGATTGTAGACACGTGGGGTGTCTGGGAAGGAGCCTTGGCGAGCGAGAGTTCCGGGTTTCTTCCTCTCTCCGCGGCCGGATTAGTACCTCCTCCAGGAAGCTTTTTCTTAAACCTCCCTCCACCCGGACCCTGCCTTCTAGAATATAAATTCAAAATAGAGACCCAGCAACGCCAAGAGGTAGCTTGGGGAGGCCTTAGAACCTGCCTCCCATGCCATCAGTTCTCTTCCGGGATATCCCCAATAAACTAAAATTTAAGTAAAAATAGGATGAATTTGCATCTTCATGGCAAGGTCCCTACTCTTGTTCAAATAACAGCTTACAGAGCAATGCTACTCAAAGTAAGGTCCAGGGACCACTACCATTACCATCATCTTGGAGCTTGTCAGAAAGGCATCTTTTCAGGCCCCGCTGCAGACCTCGAGTAGAATCTGCCTTTCAGCGTGACAGCCCAAGTGATTACTACACATACATACTCAAGTCTGAGAGGCTCCATACCAGAGCCGCCCACTGCACCAACAGAATGTTATCTACCCAGGGAAGCTGATTAGAGACTCAATGCCCAAGGCTTTAACTGGAGACTGGTTGCGCAGACACTCTCTGCCTAACACACACCAAATTCCAGATTCCCAGAAGGAAAGCAGATATTCAGCATAAAATACGTTTGCACGCGCAGTTTAGGCACAGTGAGCCACTCATTTAGTGAATGATGAGAAGCCTCTCCAGGTCCAAGTTCCCAGTTGCCAGCCAAGGGCCAGCCTTGCAAACAGGCCTTTTCAAAGCAAGCAATCTCAGACTTGCTTTATGAAATCTTTTCTACACAGTTGACCCCTTGGCCTTTGGCCCAGGCTTCTTTACAGCAGTGATTATCAGTAGGATCCCTACACAAGGTGAGACCAACCTGCAGGACTGACCTCAGCTATACCTATTAGGGATCCTGGATTTAGCTGTTAAAATAACTCTCCCGGCCAGTGTGGCTCAGTGATTGAGCGTCAACCCAAGCACCAAGAGGTCGCCGATTCTATTCCTGGTCAGGGCACATGCCCAGGTTGTGGGCCCAATGGGGAGCATGCAAGAGGCAGCCAATTGATGTTCTCTCTCATCTATGTTTCTATCTCTCTCTCCCTCTCCCTTCCTCCCTCTCTAAAATCAATAAAGAAAAGAAAATTTAAATAAAAATAAAATAAAATAACTCCCAGTAGCCATGAAAATGTATCTCCTTAGTGTCTGTCTGACAGATTTTTACCTGGCCCAAGGCATCAACTTAGGTACAACACAGCTGTGGCTTGTAAATTCAAGCTGAGCTGAAACCTTCCAGGGCTGGGCCAGTGTGGTGATGGGCACAGACCACAACCCCAGAGGAGCCATGTGGTCCCCTTGAAAATGAGTTTACAATGTGAGGGTACCCCAAACGGGACAGACATTGGTCAGGCAGTAGAGGTGATTAGTGCCCCCAGTGTAGATAGCCCCTACCATGGGACCTCCTGCCCCACAGCACCCTGGCTGGTATAAAAATCGTCCAGTCCTTGTTTCCTTCAGGCAGACTCCCCTGAAGGCTGCCTAAGGGGGAGTCTGCTCCAAACAGTGTTGCGTGTCTGCGGTACCAGTCTGCCCAGCTCAGGAGTGCGGACGACACCTGAAGGTGTTCTGACGGAGTGCGGGAGCCTCTGCCGCTGTCAGCCAGTGCTGCGGGGTGTGACCACAGGCTCAGCAGGCCAAACCCAAAGCACTGGCAGTGCGCAGGGAGGCAGCACTGGAAAGCTCCCAGGAAGAGTTCTGACAAACCAACATCACAAATGCCTTTCGCATCCCCGAGGCTCCCCGGATGCTAGGTTTTTGCTTTTTCTCCAGTTACAAAATCAGCATTCCCCACCATTCAGCAATCCTAACTTTTTTTTTTTTTTATCCTCACCCAAGGACATTTTTTTGTTTTTTGTTCAAATAGAGTGGGAGGGAGAGAGGAAGAGAGAGAGAGAAACATCGACGTGAAGGGACACATCGAGTGGCTGCCACCTGCACGACCCAACCAGGACCGGGGACAAACTGCAACCGAGGTACGTGCCCTTAGCGGGAACCAAACCCGGGTCTCAAACGCTGAGCCAAACTTTTTTTTTTAATGGTTCTTCAAACTGTTTTTTAAATTGTATAATGCACCATAGATATTATTCCATGCAACAGATGAAAACCTACTCCTGAAACATAGAGGGCTACAGTTGGATATAACAAGACTTACACCTAAAGCAAAGTATAAGCATAAGGTTGAAGCCCTGAGTCTGGTAAACTGCATAAAAGGATCGTCTTCAAAGTTCCCTTGTGGGGCCTGCAGCCATCCCTGAGTTCTCTTGGGCCCCTTGGGTGGAAGGGGTCCTGTAAACTTTTTTGCATCCAAAAAAATACCCCAATTTGTCTGGTTTTCTTCACCTCATCCTCTACCCTAGCCATCTCATCTAATTCTCTTACCTCCTCATTGCTCAAATGCATATCGTGTATGGCCTCTTTGTACCCCTTCAGGCACTGAGCCAGCCCCTTGTTAATTTTTTTATTTTGGCTTTTCTGGGTACATCCTCCTGAGCGGGGCACTTTCCGGTAGCCCTTGGTCTGATGGTGGGTCTTCCTTCTTTTCTTTTGGTTTTCCCTCATCTCCTGCCTCTCCCTTGCTCTCTTTCCCTTCTTCTAACTTTTTGTTGTCTTCCAGAGTCCAAGGTACTTCTGGCTTTGCAGCATTCTAAGGCTGTTTTCCTTCTTTCCCTGATTCTCAGGCATTCCTTCATTTTCACTGCCGAGTTTTTCCCTGTTGACATGTCCCCTCCTTTTCCTGTCCTGTGGAAATTCTGGACAGGTTCCTCCCTTTCTAGCCCAGCCCAGTGCTGAGAACAAAGACATACACTTTTTCCTTTCAGTGCCCTTTCCTGCTGGCCCACTCATGTTCCTCAGGCAGCTAGGCCCTCGCACTGACCTGGAAGAACCTGGAGCAACATCAGGAGTTTACAGATGGCTCAGGGTCCCACTACAGCGAAGGAGATACATTTTTCGATCACCTTTTACTCTCATCCAGCCCTTCCATCTGGAAGGACTGTACTAAAGAGGCATAATAAAAGCACTTAACCAGAAAGACATAGTCAGGAACTGGTCAGGATGTGTTACGAGCTGAGTTGTCTTCTCCCAAAATTCATATGCTGAAGCCCTAACCCTCAGTACCTCAGAATATGACTGGATTTGGAAAGAAGGCCTTTAAAGAGGTGATTAGGGCCCTGGCTGGTTTGGCTCAGAGGTTAGAGTGTCGGCCTGCGGTCCGGAGAGACCCAGGTTCGGTTCCCACTAAGGGCGCATACCTCGGTTGCAGTTTGTCCCCGGCCCTGGTTGTGTCGTGTGGGTGGCAGCCACTCGATGTGTCCCTTTCATGTCGATGTTTCTCTCTCTCTCTCTCTCTCTCTCTCTCCCCCCCCACCCTCCCTCCCTGCCACTCTATCTAAACAAAAAATGGAAAAATGTCCGCGGTGAGGATAAAAAAGAAAAGAGGTGATTAGGGTAAAATGGGGTCATTCAGGTGGGCCCTAACCCAATAGGACAAGTTTCCTTGTAAGAGGAGATTAGATTAGGACATAGGCACACAGATAGAGGGGTGACCATGTGCAGACACAGCAAGGAGGGGCCTAGGAGAAACCAACCCTGCCAACAGCTTGATCTTGGACCTCTGACCCCCAGAACTGTGAGGAAATAAATCTGTTGTTTAAGCTACTCAGTTTGTGGTATTTAATGGCAGACCTAGCAGATTAATAAGAGGACAAAATCCTGAATTTTCAAAAATTTCAGAAAGGGTCTACATAACCTTGTACCCCTTTTATCCACAGAGCAGTGTAGGAAAATTTAATCCCTTTCTTTTTTTTTTTTATCCTCACCCAAGGACATTTTTTGTTCAGGTAGAATGGGAGGGAGAGAGAGGAAGAGAGAGAGAGAGAGAGAAACATCGACGTGAAGGGACACATCGAGTGGCTGCCACCCGCACGACCGACCAGGGCCGGGGACAAACTGCAACCAAGGTACATGCCCTTAGCGGGAACCGAACCCGGGTCTCTCAGGACCGCAGGCTGATGCTCTAACCGCTGAGCCAAACCGGCCAGGGCAAATTTAATCCCTTTCTAGCGATAGCTACATTTGAATAATCAACCTACCCTACTAAGGTGTCAGTACCGGGGAAAGTGAGAAGGCAGAGTCAGGCTATCAGCCCATTGTGACAAGTTGCAGCAATCCAGAAGGCTGACCAGCGCAATAACCCCCAAGGAGGCCCAGAGGCTGATCTGTCAAAGCACCCAGAGAGGTCACACTCCCTGTAATGTGTCCTCCCACAACGGGCAACTGTGGCCAGGATCACAAGTCAGGATGCAATTAGCCTTTGATCAGAGATAAGAGCTGATCAGCAACTTGATTTTAGATGGTCCCATCAGAAAGCAGGCCCTTTTCTATGGCATTTGTACATGACCCAGATGGTCCAGCCAGCATCCGTGATGCACATTTTCATAATTCAGAGCTCAACTGATGGGATCCTAAGTCTCCAGTGGTCCCGAGATCTAAGTCCTGTTCATGGAGCCTGTGTTTGCTTTCAGTCCGGCACAGCTCCTGCTGAGGCTGAAAAGGTACACAGCAACCAGTCTGTTTTCAGCTTCTGGTCAGGTCCCAGCAGTCAGGATCAGTGGATGTGGGATTCCAAATGAGCCAGCTGCTTTTCTTCGACAGCAGCAACGGCTCGCTGCAGTGCCAGATAGCCATGGTCCAAGTCCAAGTGACAAACACGGCCTCCTTTTTATCCTGTTCATCTTAGAGTCCAAATTGAC